CATTGGGTCCCCTCCGCGCACGCTGGGGGGCGTTCCCCTCTCTTCAGAGCTGGGCTTTTCCTGGCGGCGTCACGCCCCTGCCTCCGATCGTAATTCCCGCCTCAGAGCTGCGCCTTTGAGGGGACTCCCCCCGCTTTCAGACCCGGCGCTCAGTGCCGCTCACTGCAGCGTACCCCGGCGGCGCTATCCTCGGACCTCAGACCCGAAACTTCCCTGTTTCCTGTCCCCTCAGAGCTGAGGAGCGGAGGAGCCGCCTTTGCGCTACCCGACCCTCCTGAGGCCGGGCCGGCTTGCTTGGGGCGCGACGGGGAGAGCCTGTCCCCTGGCCGACACCCAGCAGACATGCTTTCCCTCTCATTCTGGTCTCTCTCTCTCTCACACACATACACACTCACACACACACACACACACACACACACACACACACACACACACACACACCTCACACACACACCTCACTCTCATCTCCAGCCTCTGCCATACAGTCCGGTTCTCAGCCACTGGGTGGGACACTCCTCAGTTCCTAAGATCCAGAGGCAGCAGGGGCAGGAGGGAGTCAAGAGGGGGGAAGAGGCAGAAGTGGCCGGTTCCCGGGTAGGGTTGGAGGGGGCGCAGAGAGCAGGCTGGGTGCAATGACCAGTGGTTAGGAGAACCCGACAGCTGCAGGAAGAGTGGGATCCAGTGGCTCCAGGGGCCTCCGCTCTGCTGGTCCCTCTCCATGGAGCCTCTGAGCTGGGGCAGAGCATTCGGGGAGAGGGTCGGGCCTCCCACCCCAGTCTAGTCCTCTCCGCTGGGGGTGGGTGGGGCTGGAGCGGGCAGGGCAGGGCGGGGCGGGGGGCAGCGCGGCTCAGCTCTGGGGCTCCTCTGGGGCCTCTCAGCTCTGGGGCTCCTCTGGTGCCTCGCCCCCCTCTTCCCCCGCGTTGTCGGCCGTCCACAGAGTCAGGTTGTCTCGGAGCAGCTGCATGATGAGGGTGCTGTCTTTGTAGGAGTCCTCACTGAGCGTGTGCAGGTCAGCCATGGCCTCGTCGAAGGTGGTCTTGGCCAGTGAGATGGCCTCCTCGGGGCTGTTGGCGATCTCGTAGTGGAAAACGGAAAAGTTCAGGGCCAGGCCCAGGCGGATGGGGTTGGTGGGCGGCATCTCCTTCTTGCTGATGTCCATGGCCTCCTGGTAGGCTGACCGGGCAGAGTCGATGATGCGCTTCTTGTCATCGCCGGCGGCCACCTCGGCCAGATAGCGGTAGTAGTCGCCCTTCATTTTCAGGTAGAAGACCCGGCTTTCGGCGTCGCCGGCCTCCTTGATGAGGTGGGAGTCCAGCAGGCCCAGCACGGTGTCGCACACGCCCCGGAGCTCGGTCTCCACCTTCTGCCGGTACTCTCCCACCTCTGGGCCCTTCTCCTCCGAGCCCTCCTCCTGGCCTTTCTGTTCGATACTGGACAGGACCCTCCAGGCAGCCCTCTGGCCACCCACCACGTTCTTGTAGGCCACGGACAGCAGGTTTCGCTCTTCGCAGGAGAGCTCCTCGCCCTTCTCCACAGCGCTCTTCATGAAGGCTGCCATGTCCTCATAGCGTTCGGCCTGCTCTGCCAGCTTGGCCTTCTGGATCAGACTTGCTCTCTCCATCGCTCAGCTCTGGGGACAGACAGGCAGGCAGGCAGGCAGGCAGGCGGCAGGCTAAACGGCTGCCTCGGGACCCAGCAGGATTCTGTGCCTTCCCAGATCCCTACCTGCCTTTTGGCTGGGTGGCCTGGCCCAGAGCGGGGTGGGGTGGGGAGGGGCAGAGGGCGGGACTGAGGCTCCGGACCTACCGCCTCCCCTCTTCTCCCCACACCCTTTCCGGCTTAAAGGTAAAAGGGCTGGGGTGTGGGGTGAGTCATCCAGGCAGTCAGCAGGAGAAATTTGGGTGTTGGCTGCACCTGCCAAGCTCCAAGCTGCCCCCTCTTGTTCAGGGCTCCCATTACATGGGTGCTCACAGGAGGTAGCTCCCCCCTTTCTCAAATCGGATTCTCCTTCACGGTGTCCTTCCAGGGGCAAAGGATGGCTCGGCCACCTGGCTGCATCAGCCTAGGCAGACCCCACAGAGCCAAGTGCAGGAGGATGGGGTTCTTATTCCTGCCAGAGAGGTTCCCCCCTTGGTTCAGGTGAGAGCACTCCTGTGTAGCTAGGGCTCTGCAGTTACCCAACCTTGGCTTCCAGTATCCAATCTAATCCCCATGATGTCTCTGTGAGGTGGGCAGGACTATGACTACGACCCCATTTTAGAGACAGGAATACTAAGGCTCAGAGAGGGATGAGATTTGCTCAAGGTCACCCAGCCACTAAGTCCCCTGCATCCTACTTCCTTCTCTCCCATCAAGCCCTCTGGCTTGTGAGCTCCAGGATGTATTTAGAAGTGGGATCCAAGCTTCTTGAAATGGTTCCATCCCCCACCCTCACTCTCCCTCAGGATCCTGTCCCCTCTGAACTCCCAGAATGCACAGGTGGCAGCTTTCAGGGTGCCACTTAATGAGGTGTTTAATGAGCAGCCTCTGACGCTCCAGCCCAGCCGTCGTAATTAGTCACTCAGTAGGTTTGTTGGACACCTTTCCCATCACAGCACAATTTTCCCTTTCAAGTTGGTGGCCTGTTGCCACTTGTTTGAGGACTTACCCTCTGGCTCCCCATGCCAGGTCACCTGCCCCCTCCAAGTCACCAGCCATCCTGTATGAGTGGGGCTCGTGGAGGGTGGGGGCCCAGATGCTGGCTGGCCCACTTTTCCGCCTGACTCAGCTCACCCTCTGTCAGAGGCTGGGAAGCAAGCCACCTGGGTGCTCTGCCCAGTTTGGTTCCCCAGGGGGGACGCTAGCAACTGGGGAGAGAGACAGGGCTAAGAAAAAGGAGGTGACACGTACCATTTTGTTTTATGGGGCAGTAGTCCCAGCTGAGGACTGCCTCCCAAAGCCCGACTCTCAGGAGTTTTCCTGCCCCTTCCCTTTGACCAAGGCCCCACCTCTGACCGCTGGCATGGATGGAGAGGTCTCTGTTGTCAACCTTCTGTCCCTGTTAGCTGGATGGAAACTATTATTGTTAGCTGTCCTGTGTCAGCCAAGGGTTCCTTTCATCTAAAGGTGTTGGCACTGCGCCCATGAAGGTGGGTTCCTGCTTATCTGCCCCACCCCTAGCTATAGCTCAGATGGGGCTCAGGGGTGGGGCTCCCCTCATTGGGATCTAGCCAGCTTAACCCTGGTGCCAGGACCATGTCACAGGCCTGTCCTTCCCTGGGTTGTTCTTGGTGTCTGAACACCCCTCCTCCCCTTCTGGAGGGAGGGAGGCCTAGCCAGAACTCTGAGGCTCCACGATAAGATATCTGGGCTAATGTTATAGGTTTTCCAAAGAAGCAGAAGGGATTTTAGGCTTAATATCCTGAAGACTTCACTCAATCCAGACAGAAAATGATGGAAAGGAAAATACTATTTTAGTACACTAAAATACAACTTACTGAGGGTATCTTTAGGGAGTGAAACTGACTTTTTTTCCTTTTCCTATTCTACTCAAATCATCTATCGTGAATGTGTATTATTTTTCTGAGAGATAGAATAGCCAGTATATCTGGAATCAGACCAGCCAGGTTCATTTCTTACAAGCTGCTGTGGCCTTTGCCAAGTGACTTAACCTCTGTGAGCCTCAGTGTTCCTAAGTATAAAATGGGTTTGTGAGGATTAAATGAGTTGGTGGAAAGCACTTGCTTGAGTGGATGATAACTATTATTAGCACGTAGAAAAAAATCCAACCCTTGGCTGACACAAGGACAGCTAACAATTTTTATATTTATTATAAAAATATACACTCACAGCATGAACATGGACCTGGGGCCTATGAAATGAGGAAGGGCCCCTCACAAGGCCTCAACCAAAGACCAGAGCCTGCCCAGCTGGGTGTCCACATGGGAAGGAAGATGGATGAATAGTCAGATACGCTCACTCAACACTGCCTCCTCCTTCTCCATCTTGGACATTCCTCTGGACTATGCAAATCCTGGGCCCTCAAGGACTTTCTTTTGACTCAGTCCAGGCTTTCCAAGTCGTGAGGGAAAGCTGGAAGTCCCAGAACAGCATAAACTTAGGACCTGGCGATTTTGGAGCTATTTCTGTCTCTAGGGAGGGAGCATTCTCTTTTCCATCACTCAAACCTGGAGACCTGGTGGCGATTCACACCCTAAAGCTCCATGCCCAAAGCACAGACCCTGGCAAGAGAACGGAAAGCCCCCTTTCCCTGCTGAATCGGAGCCAGGCTGCCTGACATCTCCTGCTGGCTCTGGCCTGTCTATCCTGACTCAGTTCCTGTCTGATGCACCTCCCTTTGCCTCCAGGCTTCCATTTCCCAAGTCCAGAAGCCCAGGCAGGCAGGAGGCAGCAGGCAGGAGGCAGCAGGCCCCGGCAGGGCACTGAGTTCCACAGTCAGCCACCTGAGTCAGCAGGACAGGAGCTGGGGCTGCAGCCCAAAGGGGCTTTCCTCATCCTGCCTACCTCCCACCCTTCTATATAACATCCATCCTACCAGCACGCTTAAGGCCTCTGGTCCCAGAGACAACCAGCCCTTCTTAGCTGGTAAGCAGGCTTTGAGGGTTGTAGCACAGAGAGGAAGGCAGCAGCTAGTTGTCTATCTCTACTGAGAAGAGAGAACAGGGCTCTGGTTGCAGCAGGAAGGACTCTGTTAAGATTCCAGGAAGAACTTTCTAGGACATTTTCCCGGTTTTAGAATGATCAAACTAAACATGTGATCATCTTCTCCCCCTAATTATAAACTAGAGTTCAGTTATCCAGTCAAGAGCTCACTCTACTAGTTGCCTTTGGCGGGGGGATTAGATTACTTTTAGGTGAGTCAGCTATCCTGAGACTTTTCCTCCTCAAGACATTGCTATTTAGAGTATCCCACATTTCCTAGACCAGTCCAGTCTAGAACACGGTGTGGAATTTTTGGGAAGAAAATGGAATGAGTTCAGGGTGTGGGACTGCATTCCAGCTCAGTTATAAAGCCTTGGGCAGGCTCTTTCCTCTGGGCCTGTTTCCCCATAGGTACAGGGAGGCCTCACATATCTCCTCTAAGCCCCTGCTGGCTATGAATGACATTCTCTAATTTTAGGGTTTCTCCTCTTGAGATTCCCTTCTCCTGAAGCGCAGTATTCATTCTTTGGGTAGTGCAGAAGGGTTAGAGGTCAGGGCAGAGATCAGGTTCAAATACTGAATTTGCTGCTTTATCAGCTGGGAGACCCTGAGCAACTCCTATGCCTTCCTTGAGCTTCAGTTCCTTCATCTGTCAAAAGGCTGACAGCACTTTCCTCATAGGCTTAGGTGAGAAAACAGACTTGGCAAGCCCTTGCTGAATGGCCACTGTAGTTATTATTATTACTATTATTTAGCTCCTAGCATACTGTGTATCTTGATGTAGGGAGGCATCTGGGAGAGGGAAGCTCCATGAGAGTGTTACCCTGGGCTAAACTCAGT